TGAATAATGGGCAGTTTAAAAGAAAACCTGTTGTCCCAAAAAGTAGTTTTGCAAAGTATATACTCAGATGTAGTGAATACAACTCAAAGCTATGATTCAAATGTGCACTTGTTTAAAAGATCTATGTGACATTTATTTTTTTTAACCATTATCCACATTACTGTGTTGGTCAATTACAAAAATCCTAATACTGGTTTTAATATGACATTAGTATAAAAGGTAAAGGTATATTGTCATTGTTTTGGTTCTGTTTAAGTTTTATCTTTGAGTTTTTATTGATTTTATTTCCATTTTGTGATTCTAGTTATTTTTGATTGTATTTGAGTTCTTTGGTATTTCTTGTTTACCCTCTTGTGTCAGTCTCCTTTTCCTCGCTCCCTTCCAGACTCCTCTGTCCACACCTGGTCCCAATCTGCCAATCAGCCTGGTATTTGTTTCTGTCTCCCTCATACAGGTGCTGGTCATAAAATTAGAATATCATGAAAAAGTAGATTGATTTCAGTAATTCCATTTAAAAAGTGAAACTTGTATATTATATTCATACATTACATACAAACTCATATATTTCAGATGTTTATTTTGTTTAATTTTGATGATTACAAATGACAACAAATGAAAATCTCAAATTCATCATATCAGAAAATTAGAATATTACTGAAGACCAATAAAAACAAAGGATTTATAGAAATGTTGGCCAACTGAAAAGTATGAACATGAAAAGTATGAGCATGTACAGCACTCAGTATTTAGTTGGGCCTCCTTTGGCCTGTATTACTGCAGCAATGCGGCGTGGCATGGAGTCGATCAGTCTGTGGCACTGCTCAGGTGTTATGATAGCCCAGGTTGCTCTAATAGTGGCTTTTAGCTCTTCTGAATTGTTGGGTCTGGTGTATTGCATCTTCTTCTTCACAATACCCCATAGATTTTCTATGGGGTTAAGGTCAGGAGAGTTTGCTGGCCAATTAAGAACAGGGATACCATGGTCCTTCAACCAGGTACTGGTAGCTTTGGCACTGTGTGCAGGTGCCAAGCCCTGTTGGAAAATGAAATCTGCATCTCCAAAAAGTTGGTCAGCTGCAGGAAGCATGAAGTGCTCTAAAACTTCCTGGTATGTGGCTGCGTTGACCCTGGACCTCAGAAAACACAATGGACCAACACCAGCAGATGACATGGCACCCCAAACCGTCACTGACTGTGGAAACTTTACACTGGACTTCAAGCAACGTGGATGAAGTGCCTCTCTTCTTTTCCTCCAGACTCTGGGACCTTGATTTCCAAAGGAAATGCAAAATTTACTTTCATCAGAGAACATGACTTTGGACCACTCACCAGCAGTCCAGTCCTGTTTCTCTTTAGCCCAGGCAAGACGCTTCTGACGCTGTCTGTGGTTCAAGAGTGGCTTGACACAAGGAATGCGACAGCAGAAACCCATGTCTTTCATACGTCTGTGTGTGGTGGTTCTTGAAGCACTCACTCCAGCTGCAGTCCACTCTTTGTGAATCTCCCCCACATTTTTGAATGGGTTTTGTTTCACAATCCTCTCCAGGGTGCGGTTATCTCTCTTGCTTGTACACTTTTTTCGACCACATCTTTTCCTTCCCTTCGCCTCTCTATTAATGTGCTTGGACACTGAGCTCTGTGAACAGCCAGCCTCTTTAGCGATGACCTTTTGTGTCTTGCCCTCCTTGTGCAAGGTGTCGATGGTCGTCTTTTGGACAACTGTCAAGTCAGCAGTCTTCCCCATGATTGTGTAGCCTATAGAACTAGACTGAAAGACCATTTAAAGGCTTTTGCAGGTGGTTTGAGTTAATTAGCTGATTAGAGTGTGGTACCAGGGGCCATCAATTTTGAACCTTTTCACAATATTCTAATTTTCTGATATGATGAATTTGAGATTTTCATTTGTTGTCATTTGTAATCATCAAAATTAAACAAAATAAACATCTGAAATATATGAGTTTGTATGTAATGTATGAATATAATATACAAGTTTCACTTTTTAAATGGAATTACTGAAATCAATCCACTTTTTCATGATATTCTAATTTTATGACCAGCACCTGTATACACCTCCTGCTCAGTCACTGTTTGCTGTTCTGTCGTCATTTCTTTGCCCCATCATTGTGAGTATTCCTGGTTTTCAGTATTTTTGGGTTTGTGGATTTATGTTTGTGGACTTTTACTTTTGTTACTCTTTTTGTTTTTAAATCTGCAAGAAAACACCTCAGCTTCAGTCTCTGCATTTGGTTCCTCTTCAAACCTCCACCTAACCTGACAAATATGAATATTTTGCAAGGCACTGGTTCCAAAATAACAAAGATGATTTACAACCAAACCAGTTTTTCCCTAAGAGGGTAGCAAATGAAATGAAAAAATAAAAAAATATATACACTGCCACTGCTCTCCTGATCCTTCACACTTCAGATACTTCAATTTACCTCCCACTCTCAAAAAATGAATAAAAATGTCACGTTTTTAAACTACTGAGATGTATTAATCATTATTGCCTTCAGCCCTGATACCAACTTAGTAGGTAAACAAAGGGGGGTTTACACAGTCTAAAAAACTAAGCTGTATTTTTAAGTGAAGCTTGAGTGGAACAATAAAAGTACACAAAGCCGACAGATCCAGAGATGCCACTGTAGTTGCACTGCTTTATTATTGCCAGCTGTTCACAGGACCAGATGGGGCACTTCACTTTGCTAATGATGGCAATACATCACCAGATTCAACAGACACGAGAACACCAGAATTATAGAGATGGTAGATATGAAACCCAGCTGCTCAAATGAGGTTTTATCCCCTTGGACACAGGTGTGAAGTACGCCCCAGGATATTTAACGTGGAGGGATCAGAGCTGAACAGCCGAAAACACATACAACACAGTAGATCTGATGAAAAATAACTTGCATTAACAAATTCACAAATAAACATTTGTTTTGGTCTTATCACAAAGAGACACTTGGGAAAAATGTCGTTATCCGTGTTACCAGAATAGATGAAACACTTCCAGAAACAGGAGCTAATATTGATCCAACTATATAGAATACATTAAAACCAATTTTTAATTTTTAACCCTAAATCACCTACAGTTGTAGTGCTCAATTTAAAAATGTATTAAATATTGAATAATTTAACCTTAGAGGCATTTTATGGAAAGTAACTACAGCTGTTAAAAAAATTCATGCAGACTAAAACTCTGTTTCTTAATAGCTTATGTATGGCTTATTCTCGCCTTTATTTTATGTGAAGATGTAAGGAAAGATGCAGCTCACTTATAATTTATGTTGAAGTTAATGAGGAACCAACAAATGTTCATGTTCTTTTGCTTTGGCTACTGTTAGAAGTAAACAAAAAATATGGTCATTCTTTAACCAGAAATTCACCACTGCTGCTTGATAATCTTCAAATGTTATTTGCTTTTATTGTGTCGGATATGAATATGTGCATTAATACAACTAAAAATGATTAAATGAAATTTTCACTTCACATGTAGATAATTTTAAAGGCTTTATTCCAGCTGTTCTTGTACTTTGGGCTATAAATAGTTAAATTATGTGCTTCTTTGTTTAATTTTGAGTTCAAATAACAACAAACTTTACAATAAGTTTAAATCTGACTTGCTTGTACCATGAATTAAAAGTTCACAGAGTATAATTATAAAAGGAACTAAATGTGGATATTCATTTAATCAGCACCAATCTAATGCATACAAAAAGCAAATCTTTTCCTTAAAATGCAAATTCATGCACCAGAAATCTGGTTTTGATACCAAGATTACATACACTTAAATTGCACTAAATTCCTTTTCTAGGAAAAATAATAACATACAGGCTCAGCTAAATAAAAAAAAGAAAAATAATTTCACAATTTTCACTTTATAGTGGATTTTCTTACCACAAAAATGCAAGTGTTTAGCTGCAGGCTTACGTAGCTGCAGATTTTACCTCTTTTTTTTGTAGAATTGAAAGAGTTTTTGAACAATAATCTTATATATCATATATGTATATATATGACACGTTTTGAGGTGAAGTTGAAAAGTTTTCATCTGTTATTCCATCCAACTTGTAAGTTGAGCCAATGCTACTAGCAGCAAAATAACCCCACATCAAAAGGCAACCAATACAATAGATGGCAGCTGGTGATATGTTCGTAGGCTGGAGGGCATTCCTCACATTGTGACTCTTCCAGACGTACTACTTGTCGCTATGGTACAATAAATAAATTAGTCTCAGGATTGCAAGTTTTTAGTTTCAGATGTGTCTGTTTAGCTAAAAGTTTCACTCAATCTTTGAGGTCCTTCAGACCTGGGGTATCAGCACTGTATCAGTCCTTAGTTACATACAAATTACTTAATTGTAGAGAGTGAGACTTGTTTCACAACATCATTCAGTTTTTCATAAGGTCCTGAGCATCCTAAACAATGTCCTTTCTCCTAAAAAATGTACAACGTCTGATCTATTTTAGGAAAAAGTGGTGGCAGAAATGAGGAAATTTTCTTAAAATTTGTTGTCACCCTATATTTTATTTTTAATACTGATCTTGAAATTAAAATGTATTTGAAAATATTCCACAACAACTTCCCAAGCTCCGATAAATATATAGTTCTCTTTTGAGTTGATGGGCCAATATTATAGAAATATACATTCTAGAGCATTTCATAACTTCTGACTCACAAACTTTAGCGCATTTATATAAACTGTATGTATAGTTTTGACTGCCACACTGCAAAAAATCTAAATCTAGATAAGTCATTTGTTTCTTATAATAAGTGCATTTGTTCTTGAATTGAGGAGGTAAAAGAGACATTTTGCCAATGGAACACGACAATTCACACTTAAAATAAGAAAACACAATTGCATTGTCTTATTTCAAGTGCATTTTATCCAATTATCTTATTTTAAGAGTAAAAATACTCATTCCATTGGCAAACTACCTCTTTTACATACTCAAATTAAGGGTGAATACACTTAATTTAAGAAATTTTGACTTATTTTTTCCATATTGTTTTTGCAGTGCAGAAAGAAAGCTGTGTAATAAAATCAAAACCGTATACTTAATTGTTGTTTTTAAAAAGTCATTAATGTTAAACAGAATGTATAATGGTTAAGCTCCAATCTGCAATTACAATCATAACAATGAGTGCCAGTGAAATCCTCCCACTTACATGGCTTACCCATATTTAATATTTATGTAAGTAAATATTTTTCCATGATGTTTCCGGTTTGAAAGTATTTAATGTATTTTAATAAAGCACATGTTTCTCTAAACTTTCAGCTATTTAGCAAGAATCCTTCCACTTATTCATCAAGTCCTTTCACTCGTTTGTTTCTTAAAATCTCAGGATTGGTTTACAATCTTTATTATTTAATAACTCATAATCTATACTAATCAATGTCCATTAATTCTCATGAAATCACGGATGCATCACTCATCCCATCAGTGGTCAGACTAATCCCTTAAATAGGTCACACTAGTTATCAACTAGGAAAATGAAAAAAAAATCTAAAGTAAAAACTATTCTAGAAGTTCCCTAAATTGATCAAACAACAGCATATATTCTGGTTTATTTTTTACTTTAAAGCTGTAGGTTAAGTTCCTAATGTATTTAAATCAACTATCCCAACCAAGAAGCATAGAATAATTTTATGGCGTAAAAAACATGATATTTTTAAGAACTGATTTTTTTTTTTTTTTATTAATACTCTAAAATAGTTAAGGGATTTTAACCCAGCAGGACAGACCTTGAAATAACTGGTGTTGTTAAAGCTTTTGTTGAGTTTTGTTGTTATGTGAGCTCCAAAATAAATCAAACTAAGAGTAAATTTAACAAAAATAATTTTATGATACATTTCTGATCCCAATTTCAGGGTCTTTATAACCATCAGGTCTTGAATGTTAATTCAAAATTAGGACAAGAGAAAAAATTTAAAACAAAAATAGTTATCTAAGTGACTATTTTTGTTAACATTTGGACTCTCTTATAGCCTAAGTAAAACACGGATATGTTTCCAATAGAGGAAACATTTGTTTTCCAATTTTCTTTAGTTTAAGCACCTTACTAACAGAAAAAAATGATTTTAAGTCTTTCTCCGGCAGTAATAGTTTCCAGTTTCAGTGTCTTTGGAAGTGTGGCTTTTTTATGTTCACTGATAAAAAACAGTTTATTAAAATTGTCTGATTGCAGTCCTCTGACAATTTCATGGTGCAGTTTCAAGCTAAAGTACTTTAATATGAACTTTATCTATACTAATCCAAGAAAAGGCAGAGCTAAAGGAAAATCCCACTAGCTTAGTAAATGGTCACACCAACATGTTACCTTTAAAATAAAATCAGAAAGCAGCGTTCCCTTTAGAGAGCTGTCAAATAAAACATAAATCATTTCATCTAGTCTGTTTTGCATTCTGTCCTAAATATTAAGCCACTTGTGGATGTGTTGTGTTCCCACGCTTACACCCGGCATGATTTGGTTAGATGCATTACCTTGGTCCTTGCAGAGAATTTCCAATCTCATGTGCGACAGTAGATTTGTGAGCTGTCGTGTAATTTTGTAAAGTGCATGAATTGTGCAGCAGTTGCACTGTATTCAGCTGAGAGTGCCTTGACACTGTGTGCAGCAGAGTGGGACGATAAGGAGGACAGCAGTGCAGGCTGCCCAGTTCTATGGATTATCCATCCTGGAACCATGTCAGTACCGGTACATACTCAGACTACTGGCCCAACTAGCAACATCTTAATCTCAATCCCAAATCCACTCTGCTTTCAGATATTATTCTCAATTCTGAAGGTTGTGTAACAGTGACAGAAAACACAGCAGGGTCACATTCAAGCAATGCAAACGTGTGCACACGTAGTGTCACAGTACCATCCAGTCCCACTCAGAACCACAGACAGCGACGTCCTCTTCTCAGCCAGACCGGATGCACATTAAACTCCTGGACTCCTGGAATAAAGGGATGAGTCAGTGCTGGGAGAGTCATGAGTCACTTCTTGTTTAGACTGGCCGTCTCTACGTTGTGGCCTCCTGGATGCAGTCTGTGGCAGCCCAGCAGGATGGAAAAGGCCTTGCGGAAATCGGCATTGAAGGCATAGATGATGGGGTTGAGGGAAGAGTTCGCCCAACCGAACCACACAAACACGTCAAAGGTGGTGGGGCTTATGCAAGTGAAGGCCTCTCCTCCGCTCGACTGCTCGCAGAAGGGCACCATGCAGTTCAGAATGAAAAATGGCAGCCAGCAGCACACAAACACCCCCATTATCACAGACAGCGTCTTCAGCACCTTTGTCTCCCTTTTGAATGTCATTTTGAAAGAGCTTTCGGACTCTGCGATGCTGGAGCCTCGGCCCAAACTGTTGTGTCTGTTCTTGGCACTCTCTGCGGCACGCTCCAGGGCGGAGATCCTTCTGATTTGTCTGTGAGCAATGCGATAAATTTGTGTGTATGTGGCAACCATTATGACAACAGGGATATAGAAGCTTATGAGAGAGGTGGAGATAGCGTAGGTCCTATTCAGGCTGGAGTCACAATTTTCAGATGTGTGGAGAGATGTAGTGTTTGATCCCAACGGCACTAATGACTCAGTGAGCGGCTTGTAAGGTTTACTCTGGGCTTTGTGCCAGTTGAGCTGCACAGGGATAAAAGAAATCAGAACAGACAATGTCCAGGCCACACTGATCATAACATAGGCCACTCTGGGTGTCATCTTCCTCTCGTAGCGAAAGGGGCTGGAGATGGCCCAGTAGCGGTCTAAGCTTATAACACAAAGGTTCAAAATGGATGCTGTTGAGCACATGATGTCAAAAGCCACCCAGGTGTCACAGAAGGACCCGAATGGCCAGAAGCCCACGATCTCCGTTACAGCCTTCCAGGGCATCACCAAGATGGCAACCAAGAGGTCGCTCACAGCCAATGAGATCACAAAGAAGTTGGTGACTTTGGAGCGGAGGTGACGGAACTTGGTGACGGCTGCACAAACCAGCGTGTTTCCGAGCAGCGTGGTGAGGATGAGCAGCGAGAGGAAGCAGCCGGTCAGCACACGGCGCGATGGCATCTCATCTAAGAAGCCATTGTCGATGACAGTGGTGAGGTTCATGAGATCCATCCCTGAAGACGTGTAGGATGGGGGGATTTTAGTTTATGTCATACTGAAAGGTCCTGCCACATCTCCTCTGGGAAAAGAAATACAGGTTTTCTGTTGATCCTGCAAACAAAAGAAAAGAGAACAAATCTTTGTCAATGTGCTACGATATGAAAGATGAGACTCTGCCTTACTGCATTTAAGGCAATAGTGGTCTGGTACAGACTTTTAGCCTCTGGCCCAGTAAATTAGACAACTCTTAACAGTTGTGTTTTTAGATACCCCAGACTGGAACATGGTGCCTGGTAGAAAATTCCAAATTAATTATATCTCAAAGAATTAATCTGCATGCAGACCCTATGATATTGCATTTAAAAAAGGCAAAAGAAATGTTTTAAAAGAAACTCCTGCCATTTTTCAGACTAGCAATGTGGATACTCATGTGTGTGCACCAGTATTAAAGTATATAGAGAAACTAACATATAGGTAGTAATAATACCAATAAATCTAAGTAGAAGCTAACCTGACTCCGCCAGATGGATTTGCTCCACATATCCATCTGGAAACCTTCCGTTTAAGTCATTTTGGGAAGGGGCGAAAATACTGGTTAGCTGATTGGCCTATGTTGGTGATAGACGGGCCAAATAAACCAATTAGATCCACGAAGCATATGACGTACTAACAGGGCGACGACGAAAACACAACCACAAGCCAGGCTACTCTTGCCAAAACCAGTTGGAAGAAGAGCAAAAACATCTTTTCCTCTGAGAAAAGCCTCCAGAGCAGTGTTTTGCTCTTCTTTCAGTGAAGAAATACTCTGTAATTCCGATAAAACTTGCTCGATAGCCACGCTAATGCTAGTTTCATCGGCTAAGGCCGCCATGTTCTTTAGACTGAACTGTCGCGCTTCTCATTGCGTCACACCTCAACCTGCCTCAAAGCCAACGCTGATTGGACGTTCATTTGGTGAACGGCTCCAAATTTTCTTTAACGGAGAGTCTCCGGACTGATCTGCGAGTGAAACCTTGAAAGCTCGCGAGATCAGGATGGTCTCACGAGGCTAAGTAGAAGCTGCATAATCTGTTATCTGGATATCAGCGTATGCTTTAACTATTTCTTTAACTGCTTAGAACTCAGTATTTGTTGGTCATTATTTCCAGCTGTCATGAATACATTCTTTACAATCCAATAAGGCATTATTTTGATGGGGTCCCACTGCGGAAGATGCCAAGTAATGTCCAAAACAGAGAGTAATGGGATTAAAAATATCGCTTTTCAATTTCCTGATATCATGCGGACAATTTCTTAAGCTTATATTTTAGAGATTGTCTTACAAGGCTGGTGCAAATATTTTTGTGCCAATTTCTCTTCCTTCATCTGCAAAATTACACAATGATAATATTGTGTAATTTTGAAACAAAAAGAGCCATTTATTGACAAATCAAACAAAACATTAGCAATGGATAGTAAATGAAGGAAACAGAAATGCAATCACTTCACATAATCTAAAGGCATGGCTGCTTAACGCACACAAAACTCTCGCTGGCTTCCCTCTTATGTTTACAAGAACTTTTCTGTGTCCTCTCAATCTCTAACCCTGCTCAAACATTTTTTAACAGTTGAAGAGAGAAAAGTCAACAGTAGAAAATTAAATATTGGAATAGAAAAAAAAACAATCTACTATAAATCACTAAACTTTTAGGTTACCCTGTTTATTCTACTGTCTAACAGATTTGTAATATTCCTATCAATTAATAAATAAAAAAACTGCAATTACTGTTTTTTAATTACTGCTTTATAATTACTAAAATAAATAAATAAATACAGTTGCACTAGGCCATCCCTAGGGGGCACACCCCACCATTTTGGAATCACTAATGAATCAGCCTAAGCATGCATATATCGGCCAATATACAAGAGAAAAATCGCTAATATCAGCCAAAATTATTAGCCAGCTATGCGAGCCGAGAGCGGGTGGAGTCAACTTTTTTTTTTTTTTTCCCTTTATCTTCTCAAGATGATGACATAACCTCATTATCACATTTAAACCATTCATTTTTTTAATCTAAGTTTATATCACGAGAAAACAGTTATTGATTTCTTGAGGTAACGAGATGATTAACTTGTATAAGTAATGAATGAAGCTGCCCAACAGCCCTGGATTCCCAGTCCATCCATGCCTGCGTGGCCGGAGTTCTGCAGTCGCGGTACCACGTGTGCGAAAATAATCATTTTAGTTTCCTTTTTCTTTTTACTTATTGTTAGGTGGTGGTGAATGATTGGATTGCATGAAATACAGTAGAAACATATCTGACTGTTTTTTAATCGGTTGCATTAATGCCGTGAATGCATATTATACCTGTCACAGGCGTAACACTGGGGCTGTTCAGAAAACAGCATTGGTCAAATTGCTTATGAATCACAAGTGGAAGCAAATCATCAAACACACAACGTCGTCTTGTTACCTAAAAGTTAAACACGGGATTATTTACAGAATTACACATAGGCTGCCATGACTTATACGTTTAAATAATCTCCCGCTGTTGTGGTATTGAAGGATGTAATCAGTTTTAACACACACCAGTCATCTTGTTACCACAAGAAAATGGCTTTCATAATCCTTAGATAATGAAAAAATGTACTTCTTTTCTCGAGAAAACCACCGTGACAAAGAATCAGAGGGACACGACCGCTCTGGGCTTCCGTAGTCAGCCACTGTATTTGTCCATCTTTCATTTATTAACTGAAGTTCCAAGTTAAGTTGCTCTTAAGGTGGAGAACATGTTATCTAAATCAGGGGCAGACAAATGCTATTTGGACAATAAAAAAAAGATGGTATAACGTTTATTTTGGCACATTACATTTTCAATGACTACACCAGTTAGGAAATTATAGTGGATTTATTTGAAAATTCTTTATAGAATAATTGATTTAAGCCACAGAATGTGTTAACATTTACATAAAAGGTCAATATGGGTGGGAAGTGAGCTAAAAATTGTAGCTCACACAGAATTGTCCCATAGGTAAATACCTATATATATACAGTATATATATTGTCTGTGCTGTTTCATCCCTTTAAATAACTGAATGCGGTGCCCCAATTCCATCGCCACATGTGTATAAATTAAGCACCTAGTCATGCATACTGCTTCAACAAACATTTATGAAGAACCATCTCCCTGAGGAGCTCAGTGAATTCAACTGTGGTACCAGAGCATCTGTGCTATCCAGTTGGGAAAATTCCTTCCCTGTTTCTGTTATCTAAACAAAGTGAAAATGGTTGGAAATGATAGCGAGTCAACCAGAAACGGAAAGGCCACATAGAATCACAAACATGGGAAGCTGTGGAGATTTTTTGCAGAGGCCATCGCTACCAACCTGCTGACCTCTTGAGATCTTCAGATTCCTCAAGAAAAACGCATAGATTTATTGAATTATTTGTTGCTGCATTTAAGCGTATTACCAGTATTTGAGCTCGGATTTATAGTGATTAATCGGTTATTGAAATGGTTAACTCATTAAATAATGGATTAATCCTTAACTGGAGTACAGAGGCTCTAAAAAATGTCTTTAGATAGCAATGCGCTCCACTTAGAGCAGTAATTACATGAAAATTGTAAAAAAAATATATATAATATTTTGAATTTAAGATGAAAACATTTTTGTACGTCAACATGATCTAACCAGAACTCCTAAAGTGGAAAAGTTTTAGGTTCCCCTGGTCTAAATTCTGAAAATAATCTTCTTTAAGCAACCATCTGCAATCTGCTTATTGCTCAATAAATAAATAAAAATAATCGACAGATTCATTGATTAACACAATAAGTCTTAGTTGCAGCCTAAAGTAACCTGATTCCGCCAGATGGATTTGCTGGATTTGCTCCACATATCCATCTGGAAACCTTCCGTTGCAGTAATTTTGGGAAGGGGCGAAAATACTGGTTAGCTGATTGGCCTATGTTGGTGATAGACGGGCCAAATAAACCAATCAGATCAACCAAGCATATGACGTACTAACAGAGCGACGACGAAAACACAACCACAAGCCAGGCTACTCTTGCCGAAACCAGTCGGGAGAAGAGCAAAAACATCTTTTCCTCTGGGAAAAGCCTCCAGAGCAGTGTTTTGCTCTTCTTTCAGTGAAGTAATACTCTGTAATTCCGATAAAACTTGCTCGATAGCCACGCTAACGCTAGTTAGCTGAAGCCACCATGTTCTTTAGACTGAACTGTCGTGCTTCTCGTTGCGTCGCACCTCAACCCGCCTCAAAGCCAACGCTGATTGGACGTTCGTTTGGTGAACGGCTCCAAATTTTCTTCAACGGAGAGTCTCCAGACTGATTAGCGAGTGAAATCTTGAAAGCTCGTGAGACCATCCTGATCTCACGAGGCTAGCCCTAAAGCCGGGAGTACACTGAATGATTTTTTTGCCCTTTTTGGGACGATTCTGCAGTTGTGCAAGAATTTTTCGATCAGGCCGACTTTCAGCCTGATCTTGAGTCATGTAGTGTACAGGGGGTAACGAGGTGTGATCAGCCTCTCACGACCACCTCCCGATCAGGAATCGTAAGGTCGGGAGAAAATCAAACATGTTTAAAATTCAGTCAGCCATCATAAAGTGGTCGTGGGCAAATCGCTCAGTGCACAAAAAAGGATTCTTCATCTTCCTCTCAGATAAAAATACAGAAGCATGGTAGGATGTGAGTGAAATGAAGTTCTTTCTGTAAAACTGACATACTGTAGCAGCCATGTTTGCACAGCCACATGTTTTTCCAAATACGTTGTCGCCTTTTCTTTTTAGGCTTTCAGCACAGGATTGCACAAATCGCTAAAGCAGCGCATTTCACTCTAGCGAGCTTCATATTCCTCTTCTACTCCTTTGGCTTCCGGATAGACGAGTCCGAGTAGCACCATCTCACTGCAGAGCTGAGTCCCACGTGCTTTTTAGACGTACAGTGTGAGCAGGTAGATTGCATCAGAGCGTTACGCGAAACCCTGCTGTTTCGTCGTACAGTGTGAGCTATAGCTGCGTGCAACGATTGAAAAAATCATTCAGTGTATGTCCGGCTTAATCAGTACGGCAATGGAGGACTTTGGTTTTAAAAACTCTTTAGCTAAGGATAA